CTAAGAAGCATCTTGTTCAACATCATTAGTAATTATGGAAATGCAAATTAAAACCAGTTTAAGATTTCATCTTACTCCAGTCAAACTGGCTAGGATCAAGAGAACTGCTGGTGGGATTGCAAATTCATTCAACCACTATGGAAGCATTATGGAGAACTTTTTTTTTTAACTTTTAAAAACCTTTTTTTCAGTGTATTATAGCTCATACAGAATATCTCAAACAATCTAATTGTACTTAAAAGCCCTCTCAATGCAAGGGAACTCATGGGTCGCACTTTAAATATAGCCAAATATATATGGCTGGAGAGGTCATAAGTCCTAGAGAAAACCCCATTTCTGTCATATTTCTAGACAAATGAAATTTCTTAACATATGCTAAATATGTATCCTTATATTTACAGACAAGTGTACCATATGCAACTCATCAAAGAAGCTTCCTTTTCAATAGATGGAGGCTAGTACAGAATTCCCGCACTTTAAATATAGCCAAATATATATGGCTGGAGAGGTCATAAGTCCTAGAGAAAACCCCATTTCTGTCATATTTCTAGACAAATGAAATTTCTTAACATATGCTAAATATGTATCCTTATATTTACAGACAAGTGTACCATATGCAACTCATCAAAGAAGCTTCCTTTTCAATAGATGGAGGCTAGTACAGAATTCCACAAGTTGGTCACTAGAGCCTTCCAAAATAATACTGGCAGCTGCCACAGCCCTTGGTTGCCTCCAAGAACTTGATTGTAAGACCCTATTGCTAAAGTCAGAACATACTTTGGACACAGGACTTGGAGCAATTGAGCTAGAACTAATAATGAATCTTTTCCCTGAAGCCTAGCTCTCATCATATCAAAGGTTACTATGCAAGCTACAAATGGAGGAAATCAACGAATGATCCTACCCAGCTGTAAAGCGTTATAAACACAAAAGTAGCACTTTTATTTGGTGGGTAATCAACAGCTGTCTAATTGGACTTAAAGCCTGCTCAACAGGAACTCATGTGTAGTACTGAAAACATAGCCAAATAAATGTCTGGAAAGGTCAAAGATCCTAGAGAAAAGCCTGTCTGTGATGGCTCTAGACAAATGTAATTTCTTATCGTATTCTGAATATGTATCCTTTTATTTATAGACAAGTGTACCTCAGACTGCTCATCATAAAATTTTCTTGCAAGAGATAAAGACTATAACAGACTTCCACAACTTATTCAATGTAGAGAATAAGGACCTGTAAGAGAAGTCCAGCCCAAAATGAAATATCTACGCTGCAACCTCAACACCTAAGGTATAGGGAACAGATCAGAACAGGAGGTAGAAAGAATATTAATTTATCTCTCAACTCTCACCAGTGAAGCTTCCTCATGTAACAAATGCTGATTAATCCAGAAAACCACAGCTGGCTCAAGTTCTGAGGATACTATGTAAGCTGCTGAGTAAATAAGAGATTGCAGAGTATGCTACCCAGGGTGGACACCTGTATCAAATCTTTGCACCCCAGAACTCAGGGACCATTCTGGAAGAGTAGGTGAAAAGACTGTAAGAACCAAGGTAGGTGGAAGACCACAAGGAAACAGCTTTCCAGACAGCTGGGAAGATGCTCATATGAACTTAATAGCAATGGTGACAATGATGCACAAGACCTTTGAAAGTTGAGCATGGATAAAAATTCAGCATAGAAGATGGAAATGGGTATGAAACCCCAACCTTAGTGGAGAAATTATTGAAAACCAGTGACTACTGGGAGATGGAGAGCTGTTTTCTTCAAAGAATCATGAAATGCTAGATAGGCTCCAGTAGATGGATACACACCAAGGACATTTAAGGACAGAAATTTGGATCAATAGGCTTTAACGCAAATGAGAGAAAGCATGAAACCTGGTAGGGGACATGTGAAGGGCGTAATGAAGATACAGGGATAGATCTAAATATGATCAAGATGTAAGAAATTCACAAAAACTCAATTAAAAAATGAAAAGTAAATGCCGTTTTATTTATTGAATATGAATACATTGTGTAGCCATTGCCATATTTATTTTCTACTTAAAAGACAATTTTAAAATAGTTTTGAATCAAATGACAAATGATTTCAAATTATGTGTTAATATGAATTAAACAGAAGTGTATAAAAGGTTTTATTATTGATTATTATCTGATAGGTATGTTCATTTTCCTATGTACTTATTAAGGAATCTTTGTATTTATTAATGCACACTTGAAACAATGAAGCAATTTTCCACAGTTAAGGCAAATGGGTCTGAAAGTCATGAGTATCTTGCCATCTTAGAGCAGGTTACTTACTGATACGGATGCATTTGGGTGGAGGGGACCAGTCATTCTCTGTACATGTAATTGTGTTCTGACCATTTGGAAGACTATAGCCAGGATAGCATTGGACATTCACAGACTGATCCTGTACATATACTTTTTCATAGTAGGGAGAATGCCCATTTTCCAGGGAATGGAAAACACATTGCTCTAAGGAACAAAAAAAAAATAGATAAATTTTTAAAAGACAATTATTCATAAAAGCCCCAACATTTAAAGTTATCTTTATAATATTTAAATAAGCATACATAACATTAAAAAATAAAACTAGTACCAAATGTTTAAAAGATTACCATTTATCTTTAGTTTTTATAATTAAAATGTGTAAGTGATAGATATTCTTGTCTCTATTTTTAGCTTACATGTGAATTTTATGAAGAGTTGCTTATGAATGATAGAAAATGAGACTTTTTGCTCATATAGCTGTTCTGTTGGTCTTATTTTTGTCATGAAAACTTAAATTGTGACTGTGTGCTCTTCTCTGTCCACCTCTTGAAAGAATTATACATAATTTAACTGTATGGGTGTTGACTTACTGAGGCATGGTACTTTGGGCACCCAGCCCTCCGCTGTGCAATAAATGTAATCCCAATATGATCTCGAAGCAGCTACAAATCCATTATTGCAGTAATAGCTGTATCGTTTTCCTATAGGAACTGGAAAGTATGGTCTGTATCTTTCTTCATAATATAGATGTCCATGTTTGATTTGTGGAAAGTCACAAGGTTTCACTTGCAGTAAAAAAAACAAAACAAAACAGTGTAAGTTATATTTTATCTTAATGAGCAATCACATCAGAGGTAAACCATTTGATCAGTGATTTACTTCCTAGTAATTAAAATAATTACATATAAAGACATAAGGTTTCCAGGACAAGGAAAGTAATAATATTTTTACAACTGAGGTATAGGGAAGGTCTTTCCTAATGAATGTGAGATTGGATTTTACAGATCACCAGAGTAATGGACCAAGATATTTGTAATATCCAACATGATAACTGCTTATTTCTGATTTTAATTAGAAAATGAGGTATTTTAACTTATAAATATTATAATTGAGATGCAAAACAATTGCTTTTACTGAGCTATTCCTCCACTTAGGTTTTTAAGTTCTCTGTTGTTCTTTGTACTGACAGGCTCATATGAAATCTTTCCATAAATTTTCCCTCTTAATTATCTAATTTATAAATAATTTATACTTTATCATAATATAATTAATTTTTCAATGAAGTATGATTATGTTTTAGGAAATGGTATGAATTATATTAAAAGAATTTCCACAAATGTACACAGACACACACATACACATGCACACACACCAAATATGCTACAGTTTAAGTTATTCATTCAATTTTTTTTTTATGAGAGAAAAATTTTTAAGAAGTTTGTACACACTCTTTTTGTGGCTTATATATTTTAAATTCTTGTTTTTCCTTAGTGTCTTTCTTCAACAAACTCGATTATTATACTTTGAATAAAACATTAATAAATTAAATTAGCCCCTGAGATTTCCTTTCAAAGGCTAACAAAATGAGGCCTAGTTTAAAGTAGGTGTGTCATTACTACCATTGTTTGGAGCCTTTGGCTAACTTCTTCCTCACATGGGCACAGGTGAATCTGTCTTTGTCCCTTTTAGAGGTGTTTTCTTGAAATAAATCTAAAGCAGTACTTACAGGGCATGATCAGCAAAGACAGACAGTACTTAAAGCAGTCTCATTCTGCTTTCCACACTTCTCTAGAAGCAGGCAGGGAGCAATGTCAGCATTTACAATGGTTCCAGCACAATCCTGACTCGGGCTAATATGCAGTAATATTATAAGTTCTAATTTGTACTAAAGCATCAAATTTCTTTGACCTATCTCCAGATCTTTTACTTATTACTGCTAAATTTCATCTTACCAGACTCTGCATAACCTGTGCTAATGCAGATTCATGACCATCATTCCTTGTATCACTGTAGTTGTAAATTTATACTACATGTCCCTGAAAATACTAAACTATTTGATGAGACAAATAAGTGAGTGAACAGACCTGAGAATATATAGTTATAATATATCATTATAATTAGATAAGGATATTTTAAATAAAATTACAGGGAGATGAACCATCTACCTGATGAATTTCTTATTCATGAATACACAAGAAATTTCACTGTGACATATCTTCACTGAAATTCAGATATATTCAGATGACAGCTAGTCCAGATATATTGGGACAGATCTATGTTATGAAAACTCTAACTTAATTTGATTTGATGTCTGCATCACAAGGGAGAGTCTACAGCTGGTAACTGAAAACCTGCCTGAAAGCTCATGACCCATGACGGGAATGTCATAAAATCTAGGGAAGAACCTAATTCTGTTGTTTAGCTAAATTGACATAGCATCAAACTGCCTTCTGAATATATGTATCTATACCTAAGACAATTAACATTCTCCGCATTAATCAGAGAAAGCTCTCTGCAGTGAACAACAATGAAAGCAGAGACTTAAGGATGCACAAGGGGCTCAGAATAACTGACAGTCGAGTGCTCAGCCCTAAGGAAGACATTTATGCCACCTCCTCTGAGGTCCAGGGAACACTGTGGAAGATGTGAGTCGCAAAGATTGTGAGATCCAAAATATAGGGATAATGGCTGCAAATGACATTTTTTGGAGAATTCACAGCCATTGCAGTCGTGATCTCTCAACCACTAAAAATGTTTGGACTGGATTTGTATAAGAATGATACCATCAACAGCCAGGCATGGATGGTGGAGGAGGCCAGATGGCCCTAGCCCCCACTGCTGAACTATTTTCTCCTAATAGATTCAGAAAAGGGGGGAATTAGTGCTTTCAGTTGCATACCCACTAGTGACCCCACCAGATTCCAATGGATAGTTCCAATATAAGTATTAAACACATGGTCTTGGTTAACTAAGTATGTCACACATCAAAACCCAAAATCATGAGTCTGGGAAATAGACAGGTACGGAGGAAGGAGGATTGATGGGGTGGAAGGGAAATAAGAGAATCCGGGGAGAAAAGCAATCAAAAGGCATCAAACACATGAAAGAAATAGTCAGCTAGCTAAATTTAGAACATATTTCTTTTAATCATTAGATAATTTCCTTATAATTCTTATATGTATTGAAATTATATCTTGGGAGTAGAAGGATGGTGCACTGGTTAAGAGCACTGCCTACTCTTGCAGAGGATCTATCTGGGTTCGATTCCCAGCACCCACATGGCAGTTAACAACCATTCATAACTTCAGCTCCAGGCAAATCTCTTCTGATCTCCATGGTCATTTTACACAACATGAGGGCACTTACATATATGCAGGCAATACACTCATACACTCATACACATGTACATAAATAATAATAATTATAATAATGAATAAATAAATTTTTAAAGAGTATTTCTTGTTGAGACTAGCTTCCTCCATTAGGGAATTATGGTTAAAATTAATACTAATATTATTATGGTTTAGCTTTTAAATGTTTCTCAAGAGCTCATGTGCCAGTTAGCTTAGTTCTCCTCTGATGGTGCTATTAGGAGACAATGGGAATTGTAGGAGGCAGGCCTAGTGGAAATAAGTTAGGACATTAGGACTATGACTATCAAGGGACATGGGGATCCTGGCTCTTCCTTTCTAGTTGTGCTTTCTAGCTTGAGGAGGCAAGCAGCTTCGCTGTAGCACCATTCTGCCATGATGCTGTGCCTGGTCAATGCTCAAACCATGTAGCTAATTGAGTATGAACTGAAGTCCCTGAAATTGTGAACAAAAATAAGTCCTCCATTTAAGTTGTTTATCTCAGTAATTTTGCTACACACATAGAAAGATGACTAGGAGAGTTTATTGATCAGTCATATCTATCATTGCATTTTTTGCTCAGGAGATATTCACCTTAGTGTGAGGCACCTTTGCCACATACTACTAGATGAAAAGAAAGCAATGCAATGCAATTGCAGTTATAAGCAAAATCCTGAAGAGAGCAAAGGAGCATCCCAGAAATGAAATACTCTTGACTAAAGTGGAACTGTGCTATGCGTGTTGGGAAGTCACAGAAGTCCTTCCAAACTCCCTCCACACAGTTCAGTTTAATTTCCCTCTTCTCACTATACTTTGAATTTAGTGTTTGAAGAAATGGATATTGGTAAATTAACATTGTGTGCATAGGTCAGCAATGGCTTCCAGGCCTCCTACACCGTCTTTCTGATCAGAAGCACTGGATGAAGTTAGCTGTCAACCAGGAGCTCATCTGGTAAGGTACTAAGACTTATTAAATCTGTATGCATGTGCCATGCTGGAAGCAGATTCTAGAGCCTGAGAGAGTCTTTTGATGACTGAACCATGGCGATGTTCTGATATCCCTGAACTGATACAGAGTTACCAGCCAAGCCATCCCCAAATGTAGTCCATAGAAATGAGTAGGTAACAGAGATTTCTTTTGAAGAAAATACTTTTCAATGTATATTTGTTAGTGCATTACATAATTAAAATTCTTGCTCAATAATTTAATTAAAATCTGGAAGAATGTTTGTAATTAGGAAACTATACATACACACATTGGGACTGGAAAAATGGCTAAGTAGTTTAGAGCAATGACTGTTCTTGCAAAATCTGGGTTTGAATCCCACATGGTGACTAAGAACCATTTGTAACTCCAGTTCCAGGGGATTCAACACCTCTTCGGTCCTCCATGGGCACAACATGACACAGGAGCACTTACATACATGAAGGCATAACACTCACACACATAAAATAAAAGCAAATAAGTAATAAAAAGATAAAAAAGAAAAATACATACACACATATCATAAATTTAAAGAGCAACTAATTAAGAACTTTAGTGTTCCAAAGTGCAATTTTTAAACATTATTCAAAATCAGTTACTTTGAAAAGTAAAGTGTGTCTCTAAAGGTTCTATATAAACAATAATACAGATATTTGTTATAATTGTATCTTTATTTTTGAATGTAAGAGACAAATTTCAGAATTATGAGAATAAAAAATATGAATGAAACTTACAGCTGCATCTTGGAGGAGGCACCCAGCCAGTAATTGTGCACTTTGAAACACTTGCTGTAGGATAAAAGCCATCTTTACATTCGTATCTGATTTCATCTTCAGTTCTGTGTTTAATCCTGTGAGGTGAGTAGATGCCATTTGGAATATAAGGAGGTTTGCATGTCTTTTCTGAAAAGAATCAAATATAAATGATGTATAATATTTAATTTCCATTAAAAGTAATTATATGAAAATTAAAATGTGGGTGCTGTTTATTTGTCCTCAGCACTGTACAAAATGACGTTAAAATGAGTGTGCCTTCATATCCTTACTGATGTATTCGTCAGGTTTCCTCTCTCTCCAACTGATGTACTTGTGGGTGCTTTGACTATTCATTTTTCTTTCTTGAAGTCATCACATATCATATATCATGATTCCATATCTGGCAATGACATCAACATATATAACTTCAACTATTCCTTACATTTCTTTTTAATTCTTTGATTGCCATTGCTGTCCTAGGACTCCCACATGGCCTATTCATAAGCATTCATTGGCTGTCAATGCTACATAGTTGTCAGGACTCCACATCCCTTCTTCTGTGAAGTAAATGTGGTCCTATGACTGACAGAGGATGATTTACTCAATGTGGAATCCATATCCTTCACTTTAGGGAGAAACATTGAATTCTTCATTTTTATTAATTGTTATTTGACAATTCTATACAAGCTTTTAATGTATTCTGATTACTTTCTTCCCCATATCCTCCTTTTTTTTTGTTCCCATTTGGGTCAAATCCATCGCCACCCCACCCCCAACCCTCCATCTTTTTCCCAGACCATGATCTTTGGTTTGGTTTTGTGGCCAGTTTAGTTTCTTATGCTCACATTAGCCCAGCTCCAGTGAGTGAAAAAGGGTGTGAGAAGATGATGTCAGCACCACCTGAATCTTACAATTCATATAATGAGCCCTGGCCCTTAGGACCTACACTGGGAGTGGTATGCACAAAAAGAAAGTTCTATTATAATACTGAAGAATTGTGATACATCTTTTCTTACATGAATGGAATAACCCAGTATAAGATTTGGGGGTCTGGAGAGATAGCTCAGCGGTTAAGAACACTGGCTATTCTTGCAGAAGACCTGGGTTTGAATCCCAGAACCCACATGGCAGCTAACAACTGTCTGTAACTCCAGTTCCAGGGGATCCAATAGTGACATCTGTTATGATTTAATCCTTTCTCTCTTTCTTCAGTAGTAAAATGTTTTTCAAATTAAGGCTAACTTCAAAATTTATTTTCCAGTAGATCCCGAACAGTTCAATCACTGTCTCTTAAATCGCTACGTAAGCTTCGCCAATTTTAAAGATCTCTTAATCCTTTTTCTACATTAAGTGTCCTCCTCCTCTTCAAAACCAAAGTCCTTAGAAATGGAATTTTTCACTTGTTATCTCCCACTCTCTTTTCAGTCATCAGCGCATCACGCTGACGCTATTGGGATAAGTGTCTCCCATTTGCTCTTGTTGGCGCCTCACCCTCTGTTCTACTTAATGTCCAGGCTTTTGTCTAAACCTGTACTTCTTGGGTCTTGTCTGTTACTCTCTCTAAACTGACTGTATACTGTCACCACTCTGGCCTGGATATCCCTTCAGGTCATTCCCACCACGTGCACGTTCCACTCTGTATGTCTCAAATCATTCTGCTCTAGATCCTCATATTGGGACCATTACCACTTTGGAATTTTCATTCTTGAAGACCCTGTAGGAGTTCTTTGCCTTAAGAGTTGATTTTAGGGTATGTATTCTCCATTTGTTGATTTTCCTTTTACACTCTTTGTGACTTTCAAGATATCTTTGTGATTAAAAGTTACTACTTTTATGATAAATTTGTCATCTAAATTCATTTAAGGTAATATGGCTTCATACGTGACAGGCCCACATGAGTAATTCAAACATATATTCAATTTCTAACACAAAAATCTCTACCATCATCCTTCTCTCACTCCATGCTTTTCCTCCTAAAGCTAAGATTTAACTCATTAAAGAACCTCACAACAAGAACCTAGAAATTTTCCTCACAAATTTTCCTGCTCTTCACTCTCACATTTAGTCAGATATGGAACTATAGAGTTTTAAGTATCGTTTGTACAACTTTTCCTTCCCCACACTTACATTAAGCTCTGGGAGGCATTACAGTAGTCTCAATTGGTCTTAAATTACAATTCATTTTGAAAAATAAGCTACAATATGTCTGTAATTCTATCAGGATAATATATTAATATTAATAACAATTATGTTAGAAATAATATTTGGCCATATAAACATAAGCTGTCTTTTTTATGTCAACATTAATTTCCAATCAGCCTTAAATGTGTCATTTTTGGTTTTTCCTCTATTAAACTTTGCTTATCAGATTTTCATAGACCCACTTCAGTTTATATTCTTCTTTTTAGGTTTTACTTCATGGTATAGCAAAATGCAGCACCATTTTTTAAGCTAAAAGCTATGAAATACCAAGCAAAAATAATAATGAGAAGCATTTTAGAGACCAAGCAAACAATACTGGGGGAACTTTGTCTTCTGGAGATCACCCTAAGCTGGAGACACAAACCCCTTGATGAAACTTGATAATCTATAGATATTTAAAAGAAAACAATGGTATTAAAACATTGCCAGAGTATACATTTTACCCAAACCAATAGTGTTCAAAATTGTTCAAATGTACAGTGCCATTTTTTCCATTCTTGGAAACAGTTGAAATAGGAGAAATATTTGAAGTTTATCCTTTTATAATGTAAATCAATTATTAAAACTCCAGTTTATTCAAGAAACAGATGGGTTTCATGAAAATTAATGCTTAGTAAGCTTATCATAATTTTAATTATTCCTATAAATGACAGAAATTATTTTGTTAAATGAAAATTTTTCTAATAGCTATAGAGCCAAAATATTTGAGAAGCCATTCTAAAATAAACCCCTGATGTGGTTATGATCAGTATGGAAAACAGTTTATCTCATATTATTTGTCTAAATTTTGCTCTATTACAAATTCCAAACTTCTTTTAAAAGTATTTAGTTATTATTAATTTTATGTGTAAGAGTGTATTGCCTGTATGTATGTAAGTGTACCCATATCATTCAAAGACTACAGAGGCCAGAAGAGGGTGTCGAATCCCCTAGAACTAGAGTTATGGACAGTTGTTAGCTGCTGTATAGGTGCTCGGAATTTAACCCAGGTCTTCTGGAAGAAGAGCAAGTACTCTTAACTGCTGAGCCATCTCTCCATCTTGTAAATTTAGCTGCAATCAAGGTGTTTTCAGCTATATTATTTCAGAGAAACTGAGACAATTGGTTTGAAGTCAATCATATAACAACAGATAAGTTTTTGCTTTTTTTTTTTAAAGAAAACGAAATCAATAGTTACATTAGCTGAGGAATACAGTGCTTTTATTAATAAGAAACTACTTTGTATCTAATAAAGTAATTTCTCTTCAATAAAATGAAGTACACGTTGCCCGGCGTGGTGGCGCATGCCTTTAATCCCAGCACTCAGGAGGCAGAGGCAGGCGGATCCTCTGTGAGTTCGAGGCCAGCCTAGTCTACAGAGTGAGTTCCAGGAAGCTGGAGCTACAGGGAGACCCTGTATCAAAAATAAATAAATAAATAAAAGAAGTACATGTCTTGTGAGAGTATCCTGTGTCAACACTCTCCTAAAGAAGGCAGGATGCTCAATAGCACACTCTCAAAGTTTTAATATTTGACTTGTACCTGTGATTGAGAAATATTTAAAAATAACATGTTTTAAAGATGTGGAGACTTTCAGGTCTCCCTCACCCCTTTCTGAAAGCATATAAATATATCAACTTTTCCTCAAAAGAAGCTAGGCTAGAATTTGCAGTAGCATCACTTGGGAAAACCGGAAAGATTTCTCATTTTGGAAACAAATACACATTAAGCAAGATTTGAAATAGGGGCTGGAGAAGTGGCTCAGCAGTTAAGAGCATTGGCTGCTGTTGCAAAGGACTTGAGTTTGGTTTTCAGCAAACACATGGCAGCTAACAACCATCTGTAACTCCAGTTCCAGGTGATCTGATGTCCTCTTTTGGCCCCTGCAGGCAGTGCAAGCATGCAGGCAAAACACTCATACACATAAATATAAATAAATAATTTTTAAAAAGAGCTTTAATTAGATGTCTAAATAACCAAGGATAGAGAATGGAAGCTTTAGGCATCAATGAAACAGCCATGCCACAGCAAAGCACACAAATAGATGAATAGCATTTACAGTGTCTTGTGCTGAATTCACTTGAGGTTAGATTGTTTATTAAAAAGATTCTCTTCAATGCAAGACAAGAGCTTGATATAAAATAAGTGTTTAGGGACTCTATTTTTTGTTTTAGTGGATAAATAATCCATTTAAAAGGGTCCTGTGGGTAAACACCTGACAGAGCTTAATGCCAGGAGACAAGTGCAGGTATTGCCTCCCTGCTTAGGAACTGCAAGCTCTAGGAAAACAGATGAATGGACTAAACTCCATCAGCTTAAACATGGATGCATGTGGGCTCTCATTCTTGTCTACACTGGCTTTGTTCTTAAATAGTAAAAGACACATAAAATAAAAATAGCTTCACCTTCACAGGAGGGCTGAGGATTCCATCCAGAGCCAGTGCAGATGGCATCCCCTCTTTCACTGTATTCAAAACCCGGGTCACATTTGTATTGATATCTTTCATGATCTTTATAAACTTGCTTCTGAGATACAGAGTATCCATTTTTAACTGTTGGTTGTGTGCAGGAAATTTCTAAATGCAAGAGATTAATTGATTATATAATGCTGACTATGAAAGAAAAGATGCTGAACAAGTCATATTTTTATAGACAGAAATTTTGTTTCCATTACAACAGTCAGCCAACCAAACGAAACCTTTTTGATTTGACTCTCTTGAATAATGCATCTGCTGTTTTAAACATTTCTGAAAGAAGATATATTTTTCATTAAAACTGTGTTGCTAATTGTGTTTAACATGAGGTTATATTAGGCTCTTGAGGTAAATGGCAGCCTGGACAGTCTTCGGATGCTTATGTGAAAATGCAGGTAGACGTAGGCTTATTTGATGACTATTTTCATTGAATGACCTGCAAATTAACACATTTCTAGTTACTGATAGCATAATTATCAAAAGAGTGCTTTGTCAAGGAAATTCATTCAAGTCATTTTCTACTTCATCTTTGAAAACCCAGACTTCTGCTTTTATGTCTTCATCTGTCAAAAGAGGGAAAAAGAAAGAAATAAAAGAAAAACCTACGAAAGTTCTGGCTACCACCTTAGCCTTCTCTCCTCTATAACATATTTCTGTGGGACTGTGGTAAAGGTAACTGCTTTCCAAAAGCCTTGTCTCCCTTTTTTCTAACCCATTTTCCCTGTATAGAAATTCTTCAGTTCTCAAATAAGTCTGAACAAAGCCTAGCTAATTAGGCCAAGAATGTGATGGTTTATATTAGCTTGTGTCCCTCCCCTCACTGACTTATCTCTTATCTACATCCTATACGAGGGCCCTCTGTGAGCAGCTGACCAGTATCTGGGCAACTTCTTGCTGTGGACACCTCACAAAGCAACAGAGCGTCTTCCTCCCCAGGGCTTTCCTCAAACTGCTATGTGGTTTGGTTTGGTGTGTGTGTGTGTGTGTGTGTGTGTGTGTGTGTGTGTGTGTGTGTGTCACAGGGAGAGACCAAGAGACAGAGAGAGAGACAAAGTGAGAGACAGAGACAGAGAGATGGAGATAGAGACAGAGAGACAGAGAGATACAGAGACAGACAGAGATACAGATAGAGAGACAGAGACAGAGAGAGACAGAGAGAGAGAGAGAGAGAGAGAGAGAGAGAGAGAGAGAGAGCGCGCCTGTATATAGCTCTGACTCAGTATGTAAATTGGTCTCACCTTGAACTTACAGAGATCTGTCTACCTCTGCCTCCGGAGTGCAGGGGTTAAAGCAGGTACCACCATGCCTAGCTTAGACTGCTTTGCTTTTGTCCTCCTTATAATCATCTTAAAATACACCATGCTCTCTGTATGATTTATCTTAAACATCAGACATTCCGAGAGGGTTTCATTAACCATAACAATTAGTTGCAATCATGTAGATTCCACCCACAAGCCTCTAATACCTGAAATATCTGCTATAATGAATATGAATGTTGATCTTTCACTATTTTCATGAACAAAAACTGTATTTTTAAATTTTCTCAATTATAGGTAAATAGTATATGTTTGATAAGCATTATATCTTATTATAATTTCTTACATTCTTAGAGTGGATTTTTTAAATGTATGGTTTTTCATTTAAAAAGACTAAAGAAATCATCCAAACATCAGACAAGGAGATATATCTTACCCACACACTTTGGTTTTTCATTATTCCAATGACCATTTTCTAAGCAGTATATTTCTTTCTGTCCTTCAGTCTTGAAGCCTTCATTGCATTCAAACTTCACCACCTGTCCAAAATAGTATTCCTCATTTGGTTCCACTGCACCACTGATAATTTTTCCATTCTCTGGTTCTGCCACTGGTGAACACTTAACAACTGAAAATGTAAATATTACTGTCACCAACAACTTGAAAGCTTCTTCATGAAAAAAATGCACATTTATAAAAACATCAGCATGATAGTCTAGTGGAAACTACTTAAATGCTTTAGGAGCACTTCGTATACCTGTTTGAGAGAGATGAAGGATAAATACCATGAGGAGTATGCTTATCTGTTTCTGTGGGAGTGGACAGAGAAAAGTATTGCTTTGAATGATAATTTGTATTTTCATAGTAACAAGTGCCTCCTAAATAATCAAGATGTATGAGTCTCAGAATAATCAAACACATACTTGGTACTTATGTCCCCAAACAATAAGAGAATGCATTCCAAAAAACATGTAAAAACAAACTTTTTGACATTTATCCTGAGAGAAAAAAATGCCCTTAATTTTCTTTTTCTTTCCCACATAAGTGTTCAAAATAATTTGAATACTTCTTTTCATTTTGCTTGAAATTTCTTTATGGTAAAGGTATCAAACTTTTTTTTTTTTTACTGTAGAAGGCCTTGGATGTAGAGAACATTCCATAGCTATTCCCTACCTATCACCTGCCCTGTCACCCAAAGATATGGATCCCAGACTGTTAACAGCAATCATCTCATGTTATATCAGTGCAGAAGTTCTCAGAACAAAGTATTTTCATTCATCCATGAGCAGTCTTCTATACCTCTCTAGTCATAGGACCATCCAGTGATTCCCCACTTTTTCTCTCTCTGCTTCTTTCCTTCTTTTTTCTCTTGTTCTCACCAAGGAAGCAAAACATGCCATTTTTTATTTCCATGATAACTAGAGATTTGGACTATCATCCCCAAACTCAGAAACAAGATTTAAATTTCTTCAATTCCTGCTGTTTACATATGAGTAAGAAGCAAGAGATGAGAGAGATTTTCTCTTAATTCTTTGTTTTAAAACTGAAATTAGGGTGATGGGAAAAATCTTCCTCTGGGACGAAGCGTACATAGATGTTTAAATCACATTCTCTATTGCAGCGCTTGGTATATATCCATGAAATTGGATGGTTATTAGGGGATATCTTCATTAACACAGCTGATATTCTAACATTCATCAAGCTAACAATGATTATTATGCATCATCTAGTGTTTATCATCTAAAGTTTTTAAAAATGAGGTTTAGTTTCACTGATAACTAATATTTGCATTATAAAATCAGATCAGTCTATATTCATATTATTATGCTGATGTCAGATAGATTCTGGTTTTATTGAAGGTTTTGTGTTGAGGATCAAATCTAAGGCCTTGAAGATGTTATTCTAGCCCTGAGGTAAAGCCCCATCCTCCATATGTTATATACTGTATGTACTGTTTCATTCTAAAAACTATAAAACAATTTGAATAAGAAATACTTCAAGAATATTTTTATGTAAAACTTTTGGGGGAATTGTGACTATTTTAAGCATTTCAGCATGTATTTAAGCCAGTTCTTCATTTACCTTCACATACAGGAATTTCATTGGTCCATCCATCTGCTTCACAGTCCCGATAATCAATCTCACCTAACAGTTGATACCTGAAAACAAAACAAAAGATACAGTGCTGAGAAATCACATGTTTTATGCAGTTTTAAGGTGGGTGCCATCCTGGATGTCCTCCAGTAAGACATTCCTAAATTTTTAAAAATTAATATTTATTTTATTTATATTTACTGCCTGCATGTATATAAGCGCACCTGTGTCGTGAAGTGCCTGTGGGAGACAGAAGTCGTCATACTCCCTGGAACTGCAGTTACAGATGGTTGTTAACCACCATGTGGGTGCTGGGACTTGAACCCGGGTCTTCTGCAAGAGAAGTCAGTGCTCTTAACCCCTGAGCCATCTTTCCAACCCCCTGTAAGAGATTCTTTAAAGAAAAAATGAGGGGCTGGAGAGATGGCTCAGCAGTTAAGAACACTGGCTGTTCTTGCAGAAGACTCGGATTTGAATCCCAGCACCCACATGGCAGCTAACAACTGTCTGGAATCCACAGGCATTGCACAACACAGATTCACTTACCTACATGCAGGCAATACACGCATACACATAAAATAAAAATAATAAATGAAAAAGTTTTTCCTTTCTTTTATTATTCACCAATATTTCTTTATGGAAAGAAAACAGCAGCAAAATATGTTAGTCACAGAACTTTGAATTAAGTGTTAACTCAGTGCTTCCTGTAGAGGAAACAGAATCATTAAATATAGGAATAATACCCTAGCTTTTTTACCAGGTAGCATATACCCCTTCCAACAGAGAAATCAAATTTTCTGGTCAAAGTTTTGTATGCACATCAAGACAACCATTCTCCAAAACTCCTTCCACCATTCTGTCAAATTCTGCACAAAGCCTTCCACAGCATATTAACCTGGGGGTTGGGAGCTGTTGTTCATAGCCTGGTGATTGTGGGAAGGCAAAATGTGAGAAAAAATATTTTTGCAATATGCCTCAAAAATATCAACTTGTAGGACAGTAAAATGGTTTCCCATAAGGAATCATCTTGCCAAAGAAATGTAACTAAATATATACTCCACAGAGAAAATACAAATGGAGGATAGGACTAAAATATGTGTGTTGCCTAGCAGAAACTAGTAAACCTACCCAACCATCAGCTTCTACCACTGGGTCAAAAAATACTTCATTTATATAGTTAAAAATGCTTCAATGAAATTAACTTAATATGAAATGATTTTGCTTCCTGATCCTGATGGCATGAAGATTTTATTTCCCTCATAAATACCAGTGATTTCACTAATCAGTTGTTTTGGAGATTCAGGCATACAAAATTACTGTCATAGTTGGGCTGTATTAGAGTTATATAGAATGAAGGAGAAAAAAAATGAGTTCAGGCTAGCCAGAGTCAGAGGCAAGGGTGCAGCTCATTTCTTCACCAAATCATAAATATTAGGTTCTGAGACCGAGAGAATCAAGTGGAGGAAGCTTATGAGTTCTGATCTTTGCTAGGTCAGAGGTGAAACCTAAATGGGGAAGGTTAGCCCAGAATGAGGGAGAATTCAGAGGTGAAGAGTGGAGCAGACTGGTCCTGTGCAGTGAGGACAGCAGTGACGACTGAAATAGTTTTGAGAAATCTCCCTCAGGTTGTGAAAAAGCAAAGGCTAAGTAATAAGAACTAGTAATTGGTGGGTGTTTGCAGTGTTCCGGGATCTCTGTAAAGGTCTTAGAATGTGGATCGTACTTATTTCTCCCACCAGTCCCAAGATGCTCATGAGATGTTAAGATTTTTTTTTGGAAATGGAAGGAGATGGGCGTGAAGCAATAGTTTAAAATCTCATATAGATATTGAACATGGGAACTCTGGGATGTTTGGGAGATAACTTCAAAGTCTGAACTTTAATATTTGTATTGTATTGCCTCAAATCAGGAAATAAATATTGAAAGCCTAAAACGATTCCGTTTGTTCCATTTCCAATTTTTAATTTCATTTCTATTTATTTTGTATGAAGTAGGTTATTATTGTAGCTTTCTCATCTATGACATTTTTAAAATTTTTATTTATTATTTTTATTTATTTTATGTGTATGCATTGCCTGCATGTTTGTAAGTGTACCTGTGTCATGCAGTGCACACAGAGACCAGAAAAGGCCATCCGATCCCCTGGAACCGGAGTTCCAGAACTTTGTTAGCTGCCATGTGGGTGCTGGGAATTAAACCCTCATCCTCTGCAAGAGCAGTCAGTGCTCTTAACTGCTGAGCCATCTTTCCACCCCTTCAGCTATGAAATTTTTAAGAAGTAATCTGTGGTTCAGGAGAGAAATGATAGGGAGTAAAGAGCTGGGGAGGCTCAGTGATGAGGTCAACCAAGACACCTGTGGCTGTTCAGCGGGCAGAGTTAGTGATTCTAAGACAGTAGCAGTTTTGGCCCATGTGATAAGAATAATCTGCATGCCATGGAACTTCACTGATAGCATTCATGCGTGAGATTTACTTTCAGTGAAAGGCTTGCTGTCCTTAAACTGTATTAAGTCTTTTCAAGAAAGTGACAACATAATTTAGTTTCTTTCACAATTTCTATTGTTCCTAACACATACTATTGTTCTTAACTCCCATATATTGTGCACATAATGTGGTAATGACTTCTTGACTGAACACTTATGTGTGTACTGTTTTAATACCCTCTTATTACAACACTATGCCAGAGCAATTATAACCCACTTAAACATTTCAATGTTAAGTAAATAACAGGGCACCCAAATATAATCATTTACATCATTGTGTAATTTTTTTCAAGATGCTTACATGTTATTTTTTAAATGTCAAGAGAAAAATAGTCATCTTAAAGCACAAATTTGTAGTTATTTACAATTTCAATGATAAACCTTTTAATGTTGACAACATACCCCTTATCACAGGTATAAACAACCTTTGCACCAAATTCAAATTCAGTTCCAACTGCCAGTGTAAAGGAACCAAAAGGGGTATCTCCAGGATGCCCACAGGGCTTCTCTGAAATGAAAAAGGAAGATACAGCATTTGGATGTGATACATGAAATATATCATATGTGGGAGTCAGGGAAGCACATTTGGATAGCACTGAATATATAGAACTCTGAAAGTGAGAGATTTTTTATACTTGAAAGTAACTGTAAGCTTTAGTTTTTCATTTTGTAAAATATTCTATTTAAAATTCTAGATTTTAATTAAAGTAGTGATATGGTTCAGTGTTATTACAATATGAAACAATCAGTACATTCACAACTGAAACTTTTCATAGTTTTCACAAACACGAACTACTTACTCCGACATATCCTGGCTGGGTTAACAGCCACCCATTCTCCACTCCTGCATATATAAATGATAGTCCCAAGAGTTCGATACCCAGGGCGGCATTTGTAGATGGCCTGGTAGCCTTCTGGATATACTTCTTCAAGCCAAGAACCTGAAAGAACTGCTGCATTTTTTCTTGGGGGAGGTCCATTGCAATCTAGAAGTAACACAAACAAAGCGACACAGCATATCTATTTAAATATACAGTACACTTATGTTATTTTTTATTTAACAATACTTATGTGGTTACAGGTCCATCTAGCTATTTGTGTTATGGTCTTATGAAATTTATTGGATGCTATTCTAATTTTTAAAGAAAAAACAGTAAAACATTGAATAAAATAATCTATGCTTAAATATTGCCATTATAGTACTGAAGTTAGACATTAAATAAGTATTCAAAAAGCTATACAATATGCATTAAAGATAGTAAGATTTGACTTAAAAAAATAAATAAGATCGTATGAATTATATTGGTATATTAAAAACTCAAATGGTATAAATAGAAAGGTATCAAATTATATTCCTTCTAAATATCAAGGAAAAATATTTGTGTGAGTGAGTGAGTGTGTGTGTGTGTGTGTGTGTGTGTGTGCTTAGAGGCAAGCTGTGGGAGCAGCAGGATTAAATGAACTAAATCTAAGTGGGAAGGACCTGTGTCTAGCATGCGTGTGTCCAGTATGCCTGCATTCTCTGGCATTTCTTATTTGATTATGTTTGTGAGCTCTAGATAGAGATTGATGATCAGGGTTTGTATGAATGTCAGAATGGTAGTGACGGCAAGAAGAACCAGACACACATTGGGAGGTTATGTCTCTCTTATAGCATTCTGAGTCGTGAATCATGTGCAGAATCTAATAGTGCTGTTAGGCCTTCTGCATCTTCCTAAGTAAAGACTTCAGTGTCCTGTAGTCTCCCAGAAATCCCAACAAGAAAGACAACAGGAAAGAAAAGAAGTTCATCATAGCCTTTGGGGATAGAGGAGGAGTTCAACCCGAGTTTAGATTTAACATACACACACACACACACACACACACACATACCACACACACATACATACACATACACACACACACCACACACACACACACATACACATACACACCACACACACACACCACACACACACCACACACACACACACACACGTCTCTTCTTTGAATTGTTTGAAACCAGAAGTGAACTGACTGAAGTTAAATGTGCTACCCAGACCAAACTGAGTTAATCTCTGATTGGGTTAAGAGAAAGTGCTCTTCTTGGTAGGAATAAATTACATAAACCAGTCATTACATTTATTTTGTACAAAACATAACTTTGAGTGAAAATTATAACACCCAAGTACAGAAAGATAAGTGAATAAACAATAAGAAATAAAATACTTGTGTTAGCTGGGCGTGTGGTGCAAGCCTGAAGTCCTAGCACTTGGGAGGCAGAGGCAGGCAGATCTCTGAGATTCAAGGCCAGCCTGGTCTACATAGTGAGTCCCAGGCCAGCTGGCTCTACAGGGAGACCCTGTCTCAAAAAGAACAAAAGATAAAAGTAAAAAATAAGACACATGTATTGTGCCGTCAAGAGATAAAAGAGTTCAGAAATTGGGAGCAAGGATAGAAGCAAAGGCTGAAAGCTCAGTCCTGAATCTGATTAAAGATATCAACTCAAATTCAGAAAGACCTCAGAAAACCCTTCATGTGTATTTACAAAAGAAAAGCTTTCTTTGGCTCTGATGAAAACCAAAAGCTAAAGGAAAAACCATAAAAGCACAGGGGGGAACAAATTTTTTCAGGAAACAATGACAATAACAAGTTAACACTATAACAGTGAAAATTGAGGCCTCAAATACAGTGTTTAATACTCTAAGTTGCAGGGAATTATATATTTCAAAACTTAGGGAGAATAAGGACACTTTCTGAAATAATGAGAAGCAGAGAACTGAATGACCTCAGGCTCACACTATTGAAAAGAACACCAAAGCTTTCTGGGCTGGAGGAAACATCCCCCCAAATAAGTGAGGAAGTTCAAGAAGGAATGAGCTGAAATGGAGAAAACGAGTATGTGAGTGACCAAAATGGTTTTGAAAATGATAAATATTACTCTATTTACATTTTACAACACGGGAAAATATCATTGGCTGTTTAATCAATAGTAGCCATATTTGTCTTATTTAGAACCAAATCAGGAAAGAAAATATACAACAATAAGAGCGAAATTGTCAGGAAAACAAAAGTGAAATTGGGCTGTTGTGGTGCTTTTGCATAATCCACTCTAGTAAAAGTATTCATTTAAGATATACTATACTGATGAATGCATGCTTGTAATTGCCAATAACTAAATAATATTGAGAGGTGCAAGATAGAAATGACAAGGTAACGGATAGAAATGACAGCAAGATTATGAAGAACATGTTATTAAGATAAATGAAGGCAGAATAAGAAGGCTGTAAGAGCAAAGAAGGAATCGTAATACAAAATAAAGATGTTAGACTTAATGTATTACTGACTACATTAAATGTAAATGGATTCACTACTTAAAGCACAAAGAAAAATGCCATGTTGGTGACACAAGCCTTTAATTCCAACATTGAAGAGGAAGAGGCAGGTGAATCTCTGTGAGGTCGAGGTCAGTCTGATCCAATAGCTAGTTGTTCCAGGCAAACTGGGGCTATACAGAGACTGTCTTAAAAACAAACAAACAAATAAAGATTAACAATAAAAATAATGCAAGAATACAATCAGTTAATCAGTTTTAATAAAAGTTGTCATGTAAGTTGAAAGTAAATTGTGAATGTAAATTTAAAACATAAAAGTTTATTTTTAACTCATGCAAACAGAAAAATGATAAACAAAACTTAATAAAGAAGCAGCAAATTGTACAGATGAGATCAAGAGCAGCTTACGGGTTTTAGGTAACAGTGAAGCATTGCAGCCCAGGATCCTAAGGCTGTAGCCATCCTGTAGGGACACGACCTACCTACGTTTGCATTAACTCTCCTTCCTCATAGAAAATTGTTGGTGAACTGTCAGAGACTGTGCCTGAGTGTCTGGAATCATCAGCATACTGTTGATGCAGGATAGCTAGACCCACTATTTCATACAGTGTTTATTTAGCTATGCCAGTGTTTAAGGATGCTGTATTATGTAAATTTGATAATTTCAAATTGAAATCTACTCAAGCTGTCTTGCAATCAAAAACTGCTGGAGTTGAAATGGAACCCTCACTGAATTGATAAACACACATAGATATCGTCACATAAAACTCATTCAATTTTATGTCTTACAGAGTTTATACTGAGTTCAATACTGTATAATTGTATTAATTCAACTGTGAACCTAAAAATTGTATAGCCACTTTTGAAAGAGATGTATTTTTTCTCTGGAAATTGTTATTGAGTATGTTAAAGCTGTAATGCAATGCTTCTTCTAAAAAATAAAAAAAATCCAGATAGATTAAAAAGTTGGTCAAAATTAAAGAAAACCTGTATCAAATTCATTCTCCTAAAATTTCCTTAATTAATACTTTTTGATACAATATTATTTTGACTTATTTTCTTGGTTTTGTTTTGTTTCAGTCTTTTTTGAGACAGGGTTTCCTCATAGCCCAAGCTGACCTGGAACTCTCTACGTAGACCAGGCTGGTCTCACTTTCACAGAGATATGCCTGCCTCTGCCTTCCAACTACTGGGATTAAAGCCATGGGCTACCATGCCTGGCTCTGGTCCACTTTTATTTTAACTCACTCTTATTTTGTTATCTATTCATAACATTTATTTTACAGTCTTTTAAAAATTCAACTGATAAGTAAAAATTATACATGATAATGAGTTACTTAATAATGTTTCTGTGTATATACATGTGTATTTACATAGTGTAATATTTAAATTAAGAAATTAAGATAAACCTGAATAATCCCTGAAACATCTATCATTTCTTCCTAATAATATATTCTCTTTTTTAATTGGCAACTGCATACACTACATAGTGCCACATGATATTTTATTGCCACATGTATATATTGGGTAATGTTCAAACCAGGCTAAGCATATCGATCTCAAGTATTATTCTTTCTTTGAGAGAGAGAGAGAGGATTCAAAATCCTTTCTTCCAGCTTTTATGAGCTATAAATATATTACCATTACTGATAGTTATACAGTTCTCACACTGTGTAACAGAGCACCAGAACTTGATGCTTTTAAGCACTGTGATTAAATCCCCAACATAGGATTTAACAAATCAAAGAAAATTGCACATGAGAATATTTTAAAACTGAAATTCTACTTATGAGAGTGTTATTGAAAAGCTAAAGAGTTTGGGGCTGGACAGATGGCTCAACAGTTAAGAACATTGGTTGTTCTTGCAAAAGACCCAGGTTCGAATCCCAGCACCCACATGGCAGCTAACAACTGTTCTTAACTCCAGTCCCAGGGGATCAACAGCCTCTTCTGACCTCTGCGGGCATCACACAACACGGATGCACTTACCTACATGCGCGCATACACATAAAATAAAAAAGTAATAATTAAAAAAAATTTTTTAAAAAGAAAAGCTAAAGAATTCACTGAAAATTATTTTCAACAGCAGAAAAAGTATTCATATTATCAAAATCTAAATGTGATGCTCTATAATGAAGAATGGCCATGGGTATGACCGTTATCACTGCATGGCCTTGTTAGTGCACAGGCACAATGGTCAGGCTCAGGACCCTGCATGGTTCATGCTGAGAACAAAGGAGAACCAGTGGAAACTTACTTTTGACACACATTTTGGAACTTTTTTTTGACTAGTTCAGATGATCTGAGAATATGAAAGCTAGAACTTGCCTAAAGCTGGTCCAAGACTGCAAGTCTGCCTGAGACCCAAATGAGGAATCATTATTTTAAGGTAAAGAATTTCTTTTTCCTAAGCAGCAAACTGTTTCTACAAATGTCAAAGACATTGTCAAACAAAGGAAGGACCTACTGGCCACAGACTGCAAAAGGAACAGAAAGAATCTACAGTGCTGGACTAAACACTGAGTGAATATGTTCAACAATACTGATTGGGCTTTCGAAATGCAAAGGATTAACTAGTGATATCTGTGAGTATAAGACTCTAGAGGCAGACTCTTTAAATCAAATAGAAAAGTGGGATTGGGACTTGGTGGGAAGAAGTATATGGAGAAGTT